CATATATACACACACACACACATATATATACCATTCGTTTAAAGATTAAAATATGTCTGAAAATACACATTAATATGAATCCAACATATTTTAGTAAAGATAAATCAGCCTATTGTTAAAAAATATATATATGTATTTAATTCACTGTGTGCAACATTGATGGCTGTTACCAATGAAGCTTTGCCAAATGAACCCATGATGTATAAATATATAAATCTGTCAATAATTATCTATAATTTTCTATTATTAATTATTTTCTTAAGAGGCCTCTACGTTTGAATAGTTGTTATTTTATTGCAGATTTGTGTATTATACATTGCATCTATTGTATTTTAAATGTGTTTTGATTGGCTGCTACCTTGGCCAGGTCTCTCTAGTAAAAGAGATTTTCAGTCTCAATGGGACTTCGTGGTTGAATAAAAATAATAGCTTAGTATTATGTGGTTAATATAAAAAGTACCTTTATACATGACACTTAAAGCTGCCATACACGTTATTATAGGCCCGTTTTATTATGCAATTCAATTTTATTCAATACATGTAATTCGGGGATCCCTGCTCCATCTGTCTTTCAGCTAAGGGGTCCTTGGCCTGACAAACATTGAAGACCCTGCTCTACGGAGTGTGATTAATCACGACAAACATCACAGAAATCTGGCTGTTCACAATATCATCAAAGAAAACGAAATATTAAACAAACTGGGTTAGAGCCACTATTTCAGCTGGGCCTCAAAAGGTTTTACCGTGAGTAGTTTACAAAAGTCTCTCTTTTGTCTGTTTCTCTCATCAATCTCTGATTGTATCTTCCGTTTTGATTTCACCGCATTAAATTACAATTAACAAGGGAATGACTGTCGCCAAAAGACGATTTGGAAGGATGAAAATCACCCTCTCCTCCCTGTTCTTCCCAGTGATGGATGGCTGACATTATTTCAGTAATACAGATGGAAAGACTCAGATTCTTGACAACCAGCTAAATTAAAAACTATTTCCATTACCATTTCTTGCTTATCTAGACGAGGCCGGGGGAGGAAGAGTAACTCACCCTGATGATTTCTCATGGCCCTTCCTTGAGATCTAATGCATAACAATCTTGAGCACTCTTAGAGATCTATTCCTTTGCAAGCTTGTGCATCTGGCTCCTGGGATCAGAGCTAAAGTAACATGCCTCCACATTATTCTAGATTTAGATTCAACTTTTATTTCGCACATAAGACAGGTGACCAAAAAAGCTTTTTCGCTTAAGCAACATCTCCAAGGTACAGCTGCTGAAAGATGCTGAAAAATGTATTAGTGCTTTTACTGCAAATATATTAATGCAATCTTACGTTTACCGGCCTTCTAAAACAGTCAACTGAAAAATTAAAACGTATCCAGAATTGTGCTGCGGATTATTAACCTAAACGAGGACGATAGAGCACATTACCCCGGCGTTAGCAATACTCCACTGGCTCCCAGTGTCTTTTAGAATAAATCTTAAGTTTCTGTTTCTTGTTTTTAAAGCTCTTAATAGTTTGAGACTGGCCTACATTGTAGACTCTCTGTCGTTCTATAATCCGACACCAGCTCTCAGATCTTCCACTGCTGGGTTTGTAAATACACACAATTATAGGCACAAGAAAACAAGCAGCGCAGCTTTTGTTAATTATGCTCCAAAATGATGAAATACCATTTCAAAAGCTATCAGAGATGTGAGCTCATTTTTATGAGATGAGAACATTTTTAAACGACAGCTGAAAACCTATTTATTTAGTCTGGCTTTTAATAATTGTAATTATTATTATTATTATTATTATTTTACATGAATCCTCTAATTCTTACTTTTTATCTTCACTTATATATTTCGTTTATCATCCACTGTCTTTTTTTTTTGTCTAATCTTGAGCTGAATCTCTTGTATGAAAAGTGCTCTGTAAATAAGGTTCACTATTATCGCTTGACTGTTTCTGTTGATTAATCTCGTCCTTTTAGGAAAAGCCTCGAAAAAATATATTTTTTAAAAATTACAATGAACTCACAGAGGTGACAGAGCAGCTGAACCACCAAAGAGTTTGTTTAAACTCTGACTGGCCTGTGATAACACATATTATAACATCTACTCCAGCTGCATCAAGGAGAATCTCACCCTGGTGCAACTTTCCTTTAGTCCACTGCAATCACTTTGATTCCAGGAAACACAGCTTGAGTTCAACAATATCCTTATATTTGACCTGTATCTACTAATATTAATAATATCTATATAAGTGCAGCTCATATCGTTTCGTAATATAGGCCTATATTTTATCTACAAGTGCACGTCACATACTGAGCGAGCCGCCTGTTAATGACGCTGTGGGCTAATGGGCATGTAGCTACTTCCATGTTTCAGATGATACGTCATGTTTGTAGTCGACCAATGAAGATGAGTTTACATATCACCTTGGGTTCATCCTTCACTTTCTCAAAATGATCCCACACTTTGGATTTCCTGATCGACATGTTATTAACTAGCCTGTGGAATAACTGCAGGTACCAGCCCTGGAAATTAACCTGAGTCCTGTCTGACTGCTGAGCGTGGACACTTCCTGTGTCTGTCCTTTCAAAATAAATTCCCATGGTCCAGTCATACAGGCGTGGATTTATTTTGACAAGGTGCAGCCCCTCATAAAGTTTCAAGTTCTGTTTTGTTTTCACGATTAAGCGACCAATAACATCTTGCCAACTAATGGCCTTTCTGGTCGACTAACATTTGGTCGGCTATTAAGGGGGCAGCCCTGATATCTCGTTCATGAAAAACAGATAGACGCAAGGTCACAGTGACCCTGACCTTTGACAAGGCGCAGCTCCTAGTAGAGTTTCAAGTTAAATTTTTTTCTGCGACTCAGTGACCAATAAGATGTTGCCTACTAAGGACCCTTCTGGTTGACTAACCTTTGGTCGACTATTAAGAGGGCAGCCATGATATCTCGTTCATGAAAAACAGATAGACGCAAGGTCACAGTGACGTCACAGTGGTCCTGACCTTTTACCACCGAATCAGTTCATTTCAGTCCTTGAATCTAGTGAATGTTAGTACCAAATTCTAAGAAATTTCCTCAAGGTGCTTGAGATATTGCTATCACGAGAATGAGATGAAAGCAAGGTCACAGTGACCTTGACCTACCTAATTAGTTTATCATTAAGTCCAAGTGGACATTTTTGTCAAATTTGAAGAAAATCTCTCGAGGTGTTCTTCAGATATCGCTCACACAAGAATGGGACGCACGTACAGAGAGACGGACAACCCAAAAACATAATGCCTCCAACCACAGCTACCAACAGTGCAGAGGCATAATAACAGTTATTGAATGTAATCTGGTCACTGGGGGTTTGGGGCCGACATAGAGAAGCAGTGATGCAATGATCCAAATGCAGAATCAATACTCCAGGCTGTTTAATTCATATATTATGAAGAAAACAGAATCTCATCCATTATTATGGAGGTGGACAACACTGACAGCCATATGTAAGATATTTAATAGAAGAGAAATACCCTGCGAGTTAATATGACAGATGAAACCCCAATCATAACTGACAGGTATTAATGTTGACGTTTGCCTGGTATGAAATCATGCTGTGAACCATAATCCACAAACACATGCTGTATGTCCTAATGACAAAGCCACCACCAGCTAAAACTGTGTGCATGTATGCTGCTTCAGAGGCAGACACCTACACGAGCACACAGACGTCACAGAAGATTAGCCTCAGGCGCACAGAGCCATGAATAATGCTATCATAAATAATACAACATGCAAAGCTCCACCAGCAGAAGAGACGCTTCTTCAAATCCACCAGAGCTGAGTTTAAAAAATAATAATAATAAAAAAAGAAGACAAAAAAAAAAAAAGAAAACACGCTGCAAATAATGAAAGTTGTAATTCCTAGCGGGATTAAATCA